ATGCGAGAACCATGGAGATACACAAGAACGCCACACGCCAATTAGTCATCTTCGCTCAAGTCAGTAAAGCTTTGTTATCTTGTCGAATCAGGAAAGAATGCTGTAAATCTTCAGGGCTGTTGTTTACAGAGATTAATGCTTCGATTGCGCGTTACTGAAATGCTCGAAGAAGAGCTCACGCTTGACTTTTATTGGTACAAGACGTGGAAATGTTTTTACACCTCCGCGGCGCGATGTGTCAACAGCCCGCTGGCCACACCTTTGGGATCCTGACGTCATTCCGATTTAGGACAGTCTTGTCTTCGGTGTTGTCTTGCACGTCTCGCATTGGACGGATCAGTTGATACTCTTTATAGCATCATCCAAGATCAACTGGGGTTTAGGTAAGAATTTCATATTTTACAATAGTTACTAGTTACGGTAATTTTGTCAGTGTATCTTACAACACAACGTTTAGTATGTTGCTTTTAAACTGAGGATTATGACTTTGTTCCGGGGTTTGTTAAAGAGCTTATTTTGGGGTAATTGATTGTCGGGTGCGAACCAATTTTTTAAGTCAACAGTATTTGTTGTTGTAGTTAATTTTTTTTTTCATTTAACATGATTAAGCAGTATGAAGAATCGGTGTCTTCGTCCATCTTCGCTCCGTCTGGGTCAAAATTCTCGGAAAATAATTTGAGAAAGATCCGAGAAAGATCCAACCAAATTAGATGAAGTGTCACTGTTAGGGTTTGAAGGAATCCATGTGAGGTGATGACATTCTGCAGGTTTCGATGACGCCTGATCGCGGATTTCTCGTGCGAAATCTTTACAGAACACCTTATTATCCGCCCAACAAGAGGAGGAATGCGTTGCCTAAAAGGATTTTTACCATCAGAAACATTGACTCTGAATTCTGGGCAAAATGACTACATATCAGCGAAAGCTTCTGGCTCTATCAATTACGTGACCAAACCCGTGTCAGCCAGTGTCAACACTAAAACACTAAAATACTAAAATACTGTCCGATTACAATCGTCCTCTGACGCGTTGTTTACACATGCACATTTTTGGCTGATGACAACTAAAGGTCGGCAACCTTGATTAGTAACGGAGATCTTGGATAATAACTTCTACATCCTTCCAGTTTCATCTTCTCGAGGGCGAGCCGACAAAAAAAGAAAAAACCCGCAGGGCCAACGTCACGAGCTGATGTATCATAAAATGACAAACATATACGAACTGCTGTATCGCGTACAAGTGCTCTAAAATCGGATGAACCGAAAATTTATGACTTCATAAAACGTTGTACGTAGGGCCTCCTTCAGTACAGCCTGTTAGCAGGCTCTCTCTGATTGAGCCCTCCAGATGGAGCCTTTTACGTTCACAGGCTTACGTCAGTAGGGGGGTCCGTTAAACTTCGGAAGGCCTCCGTACTCTCGAAGCCATCGTCAATTGAGGACATTGAGAAGGATCGGAGATCGGACATGAAATCATGTTACGAAACTCGAAGGAGCGGCGGAAAATGAGCCTAAGGTACACAAAGGACGATCCAGGGTGTTTGCAGCCAATTCAATTCGGTTAAATTGCAGTTAATTCGGTTTAAGCCTGCGTTTCGCAAGGTAACCATTTGAAAATCTTCTACAAGAGTCAGTGATAAATAAAACTGCGAGGAACAATTCTACGATATCAAAAGCGTGGGAGTTTCGTAAAAAAAAAGATGTCACATCACACAAGTAGAACCAATCTTGCAGTATTGATTAAAGTAACAGTATATTTAGAAATTGCCAAATGTATTTAAAAAATGTATTGGTGTACACGTATCATCTGTTATCTCAGTCTTAAACTACTTGTCCTTTCCTGATTGCAGATTATCTCGTCAATATCAGACCTTCAATTCTGTGTCAACATAGGAGAGACTTCACATGTATTACATGTGTATATTATCATAAATATTGACACGGTTACAGAACAGTCCGAAAAAGGCTAGTCGAACCATGAGAAGGCTTTACATGATCCCCAATGAGCAAGGGATCTGGAGAATCCCAGCTTGTGGTTTAAACACTGCACCCTGAGAGACCAACCTGAGAATATGAGTTCGGATCTATACTAATCAGTGGTAGATTTCACCGGAAGTCCAGCGCTTCGGAAACGATCTAAATGATCCTTGGCAAGCTTTAATGATGAATCAGGAATTCAGAAGGGCAAATTAATGGTTTACGATGGAGTGGTTAAATTTGTTTCTGGTATGTAAAATGAGCAAAAATGGCGAAATTCATTCAGGCGGGAAGCGTGGAAACCGCGTCACTATTCGTGATTTTTCATGAGTTCTTACAGCTTCTTATCGGTTTAGCGATTCTAAACATACACTTTTGATACATGTACCGTTAGCAATTTTAAAATTCTGACTTTCGCAAAAGTAAACGACCAGACTTTAAAACTCAATGAAGTTAAATTTCATGCAAAATAAAACTGCCAAAAATAGCCTAGAAAGAAAAGGTTTGAAGATGTGAACCAGGAATATTTTCACAAAGCAGATAGGGTAGCAGAAAATGCCAAATGGCTAAAATTGGTAACTGCAAAAATAATACTAAAAAAAGACTGCTGGCTGTTACGGTTGCCTGCGATTCAAACGACATGCAGTTCGTGGAGTCCCTGGCTGTAGCTTCTTCAGCATGTCACAGCTGCTGAAAACCCGGCAGGTTTAAAACATCACCAGGCGAAAGAAGACGAACGACGAACCGTCAAATTATCAAGGTCATCCCTCGCTCATCATCCAAGATTGAGCGAAATATCCTCTGTTTTTCCAGCTGTTCGATATTATTGATCATATTCATACAAACTGCGATAAAGCATAGGTTAGGTCAGGAAGAGGAAAAATGTATTTTTTCCTGTTGAATCATCATTGAGTTAAGTCTCTAGGCAGTGTTTGTATTGTATGTTGTAGTTTGAAAGCAGATATGAATTAATTAAGAACAAATCGATTCTGATCCAGGAGCCGTACGCAATCTGTTACAATGGATAAAAATCAGAGAACTGTTGACAGAAACTGGTCTGTTAACCGTTCCCGCCCTCCCTGAGCGAAAGAGTAGATAGGGCGGGAAGATGAGAGACCCTGGAAACGAAGTTGGGAACCCCTCACCCGGGTAAGGAAGTCGGGGACCCCACAGTGGGAGTCAAATAATTTCTCCTTGATCTGATCGCAGTCTACTCAATATTCTGTTTTCTTTCCGTTGAAAATCCCTGCCGATTTTCATAAATTATGTATTTTTCGGGATCTTTCATTTTCATACTTTGTCTGCTTTAAGAGTCGTTGCGGAGCTATGAATTTATCATGAGGTCCAATAACAAACACTGAAAGTAAAAGTGTTTGTTATCTGATATTTTAACGTTATATTAAATTATCGGCGAGGCTTTTGCTCAGTAATCCATGGTAACTGGCGAATAAGCAATCTAACTTCCACCGGCTGAGGGACACAAATAACTATTTTTGAAAAATGAATGGATATCAGTAAACATTCAATTTTCAAAATAGCAACATGACAGGCGAAAGGAATTCTATAGAAATAGAGAAATATATGCCTTTATGATATATATAGCTAGTAATATGCGGTAAAGTTGAACTGAACACGTCTGTATGCAAGCAGTCCATGTATGACCATGTATAGCCAAGACATCAAAATAGCGTGACCTCAATGAGCAAGTGTGACTCGCCTAGCTTAAGTCACGCATTCTCTGCATTCTTGACAATCAAAATGAATGTGGATTCCTTTCGTGCACACTATTGATATAAATTCTTACAACTTTCTTAACAGTTTAGAAAAAGCTTATTTCGTGACAGAGTGAAAGCTCATTTGTACTAAATTGCCTTCTATTTGTTTTGATCCGCGTAATGTTCCCGGTAACATGTTCCACACTTTGCATACGAAGAATGCTCCATCGCCCATCGCTATTTTTTTTCGATTGAAAGCCAAAGCAATTAGGCTCATTTGTATGCATGTATGAGTGACATGTTTGTAGTGATTCTGTAATGAAAATAAATTGACTTCAACTTGGATTATCGGTGTTGGCCGGTACGGAAAGCAGAAAGCACTCATTCTTTTCCGGTAACAGGTTACAATCCAACTACTTCTTTGCGACTCAGGACTCGGCCTTTTTCTATCGTGACATGAAGGTTTCGTTTCTACTCCTTAAGCTCACACTTACCTAATGGAACCAAGATGAGGATCAGAGGAATTGCAATTCTCGTCAAATTCGACATGTTTCTTGTTTCTCTCCGCCTTCCCTGTCGACGTTGTTAAATGACGCTGGGAAACTAAGAACGTTGCGCTGCAAACGTTGTGAGGACACGAAACAGGTGACTGTAGTCCGGAAGAACTCAAAATTGGTGTTACTCGGTAGAAACGTCAAAAACCCATCAAAACAGGTTATAAATAATTTTAAACCCCGCAATCTGATTGGCCAACTTTCTGAGCACATGATACAATAGCTGCCATGCCAGTAAGATGCTGCTTCATACCATCTATAGACATGATGGATTTTACAATGTTTAAAAATTGAAGCTAATTTCAATTCAGTCATTAGAAACGGTGTGGCTCGACTTTGGTGTTGATAAGCCCCAGTGAGCAATACACCTATCTTTTACCCTGAGGCTTGGGGACAAATAACAGAAACAAAAAACAAACATTTTTTCATCCCTCAGTCTCGATGTGATTTCTTTCGTTTTATTCCCCAAAACCTCGGAGTCAAGTTGGAATTTTAATATTTGAAAATTGGCTCAGCGATGTTTATGCATGAAAATAATACAGTATTTCGTTAACGAGGGGGAGGTAGAAGTTCAACCGATCGTAAATTATTTCCGGCAAATTCGGTGATTTCAAACTGCATCAGGGCTATCATAGTTTGACCGTGGTTTGTTCGTAAAATCCGATTTTACCTGATCCTGAAACTCGCAGAGACCTGATGTTCAAACAGCTATTTCAGTATTACAGTTCCACAATAATAAAAAGCATCGGATTCTTTCCTTGAATCGAGTCTTGTTAGACGAAGTAATGAACTCACGTGGTCGAAACTGAAAACGGCAATTAATATTATATTTTATTTTTCCCTGCGGAAAAAAATCCGCTCAGTAACAATCCGTAAAACCTATGCAACCACCCATCACCCCCACCCCCTCCGCTTCAATCATTCCTCCCCTGTAAATGTCTCTTCCTCAGTTGCCCTGTCGTGTCACTGTAAATCACTAAATATGGCTCAAGATACAGACTTACGATCATTTTAATCACATCATAGGATTACATACTATAGTTCCACCTGTGAAACAGCAGCTCATTGTCTTTAATTTAACCTGACAAATAACTTTAGACTCAAGTCAACTTCTAGTCATTGCCGAACTTGTAATTTTTAACCTATAACTTAGTTTTTTAGAATTTTAGTTTTTAAGCTGTAATTTTCACTTTTAGCGTGTAACGTTCATTTTTTATGTATTTTAATTGTAATGCGCATTTGAACATATACGTATGGAATTTGCGCACAACAAATTCATAATTATTATTATTATTATTATTATTATTATTATTAACTTGAGAGACGAGCGTAGCTACGTCTGCTTTAAAATTAATTAATTCTATAACTACCTTGATTGGTAAAACCGTTATATTGCACTTAATGATTGTTGGCAAGCTGTTTTACACAGCCGTGCCTAAAACTAGCAGAAAACTGACCGTCTCATAGGATAAAGTATGACTTCCTAAACGTGGCTACATACGAGGACGTTCCGTTTAACTCCAGCATTATCCCCACCCACCCACCCACTCCCCCCCACCCCTCTTAACCCTCCTGAAATGAACAAACGTTTGGAAAAGGTAAAGTAACTTGTTACAATGGGCGTCCTATCAGGACGAAATATAACCGAAACGAAAAAATTTGGCTAAACCATCCATATCAAGTAATTAGTCGCTTAGCTTTGAGTGAAAGATTTCCACGTCAGGGATATCAGTTAAACATGGGAGTGGAAAAAAGAAGTATAAATTTTGTTCACCAGTGGAAAAACTACAGGAAGACATTCAAACGAAAAGTCCCAGTACTTATTTTTACCACTACGACAGAGGTTCTTTATGATCATCATCTTGTCCAGTAACGATCTTCCCTGGTATCGTACGGCAACTCCACAGTCTTGCTGCAGCAATCTTGGCTCCTTGATAAAAGCGCGGATAGTGATAGGCATAAACTCCAATGAATATTACGGTCTGGCCATAAATCAGCAACCGAGGCGTAAAGAAAAAGATAATCTGGTGTCCAGGCCACAATTTGAAGTCTCCGCCCGAGATCTCGGTAAGACGAGCTGGACTGGTACAGAGACAGATGGTCAATGCGAGTGCGCAGCACATCGAACGTAGATTCATCTTGACGTGACCACCGACATCATCTGGGCCTTGGAAAAAAATAATGTATTTCGGTAAGTCAGTTAAAATCCGAAGGGGATGGGTTGTGAGAGGAAGTAAAACCTGTAGATTCCGCGCTTTCTTGATACCCAATATTTATTTTGAACAGTAACACTTTGTTTTCCGCATTTTGACAATTCAAGTTTCTATCATTATGCTCACACGTAGTCTACGTTCTCAATTTGTAAATCGCTATTTACAACCGCAGACAACTCTTTATTACGATTATCTCTGTACTAGAGACAGTCCGCAGAAAAGGGGCTATCGGTAAATAGTCACCCAGAATATAATCAGTCTTGCAATATTGACGGCAGGTTCATCTAAATATCGTAAATTTCTGATAATAGCTCATACTTGACCAAAAGGCTTTTGTGTTGGACTTATTTTCCAGGGGCTTATCATGGAAAGAATAGTGTCAACGTTGGGTTTATGTTTGGCAGGCAAACTACTTCCGAAAATGGTTAGATGAATACTTGAAAGCCACACGAAAAACTTCTCTGAACATTGCGATAGGAAGGCTAAAAAGGGCATTACCTGAGGAGACTATAAAATATATCACAATATAAAATTCAGAAAAATCTGTACAATTACTTGGGACTGATAATCTGAAGAATTTCATTTTTCTTTTAATGAGACCTATGACTAAATGGGCCTCAATCCGGGGGGACTAATCATCGGTCACTTGTCTATTGATTCGAGGGGGGGCTTATCTTGAGCTTATTTTCGGCGGAGAGGAACATGGTTATCGCCCAGGGGGTTTTATGGAACGGATACATGATATCAGTTTTATTTTTCAGTATTATCCCATTTTAATTATGAGCTCAAAACTCATAGGAACGAGCCACCAAAAAAACCTGAACAAATTTTGCTAACGTGGTTGAAATGATTTTGTACAAGATAAAATGAAGGCGTCGTTGCTACCGTACCCGCTTTGTGGAGGGCTTCATAGTCTGGATGTTCGACGTACTTCCCGTGATAAAACCAAATGGCGAGCAGAGGCAAAATGGCCACGTACACTTGTTCAGTCCACTGAAACATCCACATCATTCCCAAACTTGGATCGATCAGCGTACAACGCGTGCACCCCTCCGGAGTCTGTTCAAGGGTGGTGAATAACAGGGGGCACACGAACAATAGGGATACGAACCAAGTGCTGCGCCAGTGGATTGGACTGTTGGGGTAGCCGTATGGCGTGAAAGCATCGCGTACCAAGTTCAGGATGTGATTTGCTATGGCCATGTACATAGCTCGCTCAACAAAAAAGTTCAACCTGCAGATAAATTAAAAGCGGTGTTCAGTGTCATGTTTACTGCAGTTTTATTTCCATATTTATGAAATAATGAACGACGCGGTGCGCGAGTCCGCCTTTACAAATGCTGATCCGAACACGAGGGGGCATACGGATGAGTTGGTATTCATCCTCTTTAATTACACCGCAGATCTATAAAATTCGGAGAAGACATTGTGTCCTTGAATCCCTTTACTGGGAGCTATTCGTTCGGTCATCAATCGAACTATCCGTGTATTGACCATCTCATTATGACCTCTTTTCAGTAAGTTGACCGCTGAAGATTACACTTCTTTGTCTGTGAAGCCAGGATTCGTCTAAAATAGGGTCTCAATTTCGGTATCTGGCCTAAAAATTAACCTTCATCGTTAAATAAGAGAGCCGTCAACCGTCAAACAAGAAAAAAATACTGTCAGCCGTCACACAACCAAAAATCTAACCATCAACCCGTCAAAAAGCTATATATTTTAGTCGTCAACCAATCGTCGAAGGTAACCTCCCAATGAGACTCGATTAAACCGCACGGCTGTTCATCTAGAGGTAAACTCCCGGAAAAACAAAGCTGAAGAAGCGTGAGCGATTGGTCGAGTCATAGGCAAAAAGGTTCTTCGTTAAAAAACCCTAACCAGCTGCTAGTTGTTATCGGCAGCTATTCTTAGAACATTATTCCAGTCCGTCAAATGTTGGCTGGAGTTATGCAAATTTTTTGGATCTTCCCAGACGAGAAGTTCATTAACTTGTGTCTAACTGGTGATTAGTGTAGTCAAAACTTTCTCGTTGTTCCCTGCAGCTTTATAGCCATAAAAGTTTACTCCTGCAGTTTGAAAAAAAAGTCAATCGCTTGCGAATCGAATAAAAGTGCCGCGAATAAAGTATTCAAAATACAATATGCAAAAACGGTTCTTGTCTTATTCCAGTACTGATAATTACAAGACAGTTTTTCCGCTTAGCGATTCGCATGTGTTACTCCACATTTAAAAAGACTCCTTGGAAAATATGAGAACAACTCAAAAGAAGGAAACGTAAAGAAAAAAATTCTTATTATTGCGCAGGCATTTTAGCGCACGAGGGGTTAGAATTTGAAGGGGCGTTTGTGTTCAAACTTCATACCAGTTTTTAAATATAGTTTTTCTTTTTAACGCGTGTGGGTTTACCTGCAGAAATGCTCCCCGAAAAACCAAGAACCTCCTGAAGTGAAGCTGATAACGTCGAGTGGCATACGGATCAAGAGGATAAGGTTTGCAATAGAGTAGTGCAAAAGATGGCCATTGTAGATCAGAACTGGGCAGCCTTTTAAATTCACCAGCTCTTTACAACTCAGTAAAATAAAGAGGACGTTGCTTGTCAACCCAACGACGAATACGACGAAAAATATCAGGAATTCCAAGAACTGGAATTCACCACCACAAGTCACGGTAGGCATGTTCGGCGAGGAAGACGTGTTGAGTTCGAAAGGGAAGAAACAACTTCTGAGTGTTCAGTGAAAATTATGACAAGCAGTTCACTTGACAACAGAACAAAGCAATAAACCGATCCTCTTAGTTAATTGCCTAAAAAAAGGCATGTGGTCAAACAAAACGGCTTATTTTGCATAAGATCGATTTCAGTTTAAACAGCAGGAATAAGGTTAGCTGAACGGCATTGGTGAGCTTTTCATAACATCTGTTTTGACCCAAGCTAATTTACTAAACTCACTCTTATGATGAAAGAAATAATAAATAGTCAAGACTAAAGGGAAAAAGGCTGGCAAAAAATTATTCTGGACAAACAAAAACAACATTTGGCAAGCACGCCAGTGTTAAATGGAAATGTCGATTTACACTGAAAAAAGATTCTGCATCAATATCTCTCCGCCCCGCCGAAAACGGACAAAAATGGGTTTTGGTTTTGTCTTAGAAAAAGTATTATTTTAATGTTTTAGAGTTCCTCGGGGGATAAATTCACGCTTTTGTAGCCAAACGCAGTGCCGGATGTTGGTTTCCGGCCGCCATGTTGGTGCCCAAACGGATGGGCACCAGCATGGCGTCTCCATACAAATCTCTATAAGTTTGGGTAAAAAATTCATCCGCATATCTCGCGCAAGAAAAGCTGTCTTTGCATATTTACCTTCTTTCTTCTTTCATTTCCCAGATTCTGGACTTTATCTATCGACCGGTTTTGATTTTTATTTTGATCTATTTTGANGGCGAGAGTCTTTGCATATTTACCTTCTTTCATTTCCCAGATTCTGGACTTTATCTATCGACCGGTTTTGATTTTTATTTTGATCTATTTTGAATTGCGTGACACTGAAAACCAGCAATAAAAGTTATACGCTATATATAGATATGTTTTGCAACCACAGAATATAGTTTTCGAGCTGTTTTCGCAAAAACTAGGGCCTGATAGATGCCTTAATTCTCAGTTTCTACTCAGCAATAGGGTTTCACTTGCAACGAGATCGTAGAAAAAGTTTTTTTTAGACTTTTACTCATCATGCTGTGAGAAGATCATGAGTGATAGAGAACTGACCCGAAAAAGATTTTTCCACGAGGGCCCGTGTGCATGTCATTAACAAAACCTAGTCCCAGTTTGGTCTAAGACAGGCAGAGGTAAAAAATGTAAGGCCTACATACGAGCCAAGTGGCCCATCAGGCCGGAGCGTATTCCGGTTTCTGTAGCATGAAGTGACTAAGAGTATTTCTGCTCCCCCTGGATAGGATGCTAGGTTCAACGCAGGTTAACCACAGCATTAAATTCACCTGGAGAGAAAGGCACTGGGAGAGTAAAGTGTCTGGTCTAAGATCACAACACAATGTCCTCGGCTAGGGCTCGAACCCAAACCGCTCGATCCGGACTAAAGCGCACTAACCATGAGGCCAGCGCGCCTCCACGGCCTACAATAGGGCAAAGGTTTTATTTGGGAATGAGTGGAACTGATCCCTTCAAAAATTCGAATCTTAGGAATAATTCTAGCGTATATATACGGCTTAACACTATTGTTTTCAGCATCTTTAACATACAATACAAGCAACAGAAGATAAAAAAGTCATTGAAATTAAGCAACAACATTTGAAATTTTATTTAATATTACATGGAGCTTTCATCAGTCACGTTATACGTATCGACAAGCTCAAATTATCGCTTATAAAACGACGCATGAGAGTAATTTACATTACAGTTCTTAGAAACTCCTAAATGATAATTCAACATCCTAACTTGATTGTTCCGCGTCTAATAACTGCATTCTACTAAATGAAATTGGATGAAAATCCAAAATTACTTAAAAGCAACCTAATAACCGAACAAGTAGATAACTCCAGTGGCAATTGGAACGCAAGCCATCAAGAGAAGACTGCTGACCATATGACCAGGGGCACCGTTGCAGTAGTCTGAGGAACAGCAGTCCACGTTACACTTGACACCAGGCTCATTGCAGACAGGAATGTCAGATGCTGAGCAGGTAGCCGCGCAGCCTTTCACATAAGCTTCTTCAGTAGAACTGTGACCGCTGGCTTTAATGCACCGCTGCGAATTTAGGCACCTGACCTTGTATCGCTTGTCATCGCAGTCTTTCCAAGAGTGGGTGCTAAGGCACTGATAACATTCACGGGAAAACACTGCATGATTGAAGAAAAAGCGAGATAAAATTATAAATGTGTGGTTACCAGTTTTCAACACATTGCTTGTATTCTTATCACAGCCTGTACAAACACTTTCTATAGTTCCGAGGCTTTCGTTTCTATTGTTCAATTTTCGCTTCAAGGGTGGAAGGAAGCTAAGAAGTATTGTTGAAAAGTTGTATTCATATTTAGCTTGCTGGCAGGTTCTGTTCTTGAAGAAGGGAGAAAGAAATGAGGGCTACCATGCAACACTTAGAGTTGTGCGCTTCACCGCCAATAAACCCTGCTACACCAGTCGTCGAGGATCAGTATATTTCCCTCCCTTTCACCCCTGACGCCCCTTCCTCCTTTCCCTCAGTCACTCATCCAATCCCGAAGGGAACATCTATCAGGCCATGTTATCTCTAGGAGCACTGATTAATTACCGTAGGGATAACAGTAACCAACTAAACAAAAAAACGAAAAAATTTGAATTCAAGGGGTGGAATCCCGAATTTGTGTATGCAAGCAATCCGAAAAATAACGGTCACGATTGTCAGCACATGTAACTATGTGAAATATTTCTGCACGAAATGTGTTTTCGAAACCGGAAAATTTAGACCTCGTGGTATGAGTCATCAAAAAACTACCAAGGGCAAGACTGGCTCTTATGCTTCTGGAAAAACTGTTAAATATTGTATAAAATAACTAAATAGCAGGCTTTTAGAGTGCTCAATAGTTAGATTAGAGCAATTTATGACAGTAGGAGTAAAAAGTTGGATTAATTGGTCCAAGACATTTACTCTTCCGAAGCAGTCAGATTGCTACCACTGCCAGAAAAAAAAACGGTTACAGGGAAAGTAAAATAACTATATATGGAAATTGGACTTCGAGTTGCACTAACGTATAGTTTGAATACTTGCAACCGCGCTGGTGAGTTTACTTTACTGTTATTCGATTAATTGAAGCTGTCTTCAGCTCATTCAACGTACGGTGTTTATCTGAAATAATCTGTTTCAAACAAATTAAACAACGTTTCGGCTTCTTGTCTAGTTTTGCTACAGCATGCTTTGCTTTAGCAATTAATGATTCTTTAAGACTCAAACGTGCAATTCAGCATGGTTTATTTGCGACATGGTATTTAACGCCCTCACATGGCATGATATTGAATGCTTCGATCCGTTTTGAAATATTTTGTGCAGTTGACGTGTTAACCTGTGATAGTGGATAGTGATCGATCGGGATGACCTATAAAAAGTGGTCTAACAAGACATCCAGTTAATTTAAAACTGTTTCTTTCCTTTTAGCCTTGAAGTACATTAAGGAAATAAACTGCTACATGTCAGTCATTAGGAAAATCTGAGTGAATGTTGCTTCCATTGCATGTTTGTTTCGCGAGAAAACTAGAAAGTTTTGCAAACTGAAAAAGTGAACAGATTCACGCTAAGTTTCCTCAAAGTTCTTGAATTGAGAACGAAGCTAAGGACACTCTAACTGAAAGTAAAAAGCGCCACGAGGTCTAGCTTGCCTGATGATGATGCAAGACCACCGAGCGACTTACATCCGACTTGCACGAATTAAACTTGTTTTTGGGTATTGCGCATTTAGCAAATACGAAATGTACAACGTAAGTTCACTTACCAAGTGGCGAGAACATTAGAAACACGACAATCACCAAACTCTGTAAATTCGACATGTTTCTTCGTTTTTTTCCGCTTTGCTAGTCGCCTCGTGGTTGTGACTCTGCGAACCCAACTAGGGCGATACGACGCAAACTGAACAACTCAAGGGACCTTTCAATGCTAAATGTGATGGCACACCTTAAAAATGTCAAAATTGATCTATTTCGGAAGTAAGATGACAATACTTGTCAGAAAAACTGTTATCTGATTGGTCAACATAAAAGCTTGTCTTTATGATGCATACCCCTGATTGCTCTGCTCACCTAGTGTAGTCCACCCCTCTGACTCTGATTTGTTCCGCGTTGTATAAAATATAAGGTAAAGTTTTAAAAATGCTAGCTATTTACATATTCAAGTTAGTCAGATTGTTCGTCTATTCATGATTAATTCAAACGCGCGTTAATTCAGCCGCCACCCTTGTTAGTCAGGCGAGAACATAAATGAGCGAAAATTTCATCCTGACGCGAATCGTTCTCCCTTGTTTCGTTGACTTTAATCATAACATTATGGCGCTCGCACACAATGACTCCACAGCAGCGACGAGTATAAGCAAGCTGCATTTCTAACGCTGTTGAGATCAAAGCGCAATGCATGAATACTCAGAGTTACAACAAGACAGTCAAAAAATAGTATGATTAATCTGCTGCTACCAAGATTGTTACCGCATTCCGATCTTTGATCTGCCGGCAATGATGGCGTGCTTTCATCAATCCAGTGTGATAACGTCATACCACGTCCTTTCGTGAATTATAATAACCGGCTTGCCGTAAATTGTAATACCTATCGTGAATTGTAATAACACTTGCCACGTGTTTAGACAACGAATAGTCGCTCTTTTGCTTATGGCCCATATAACGTGACAAAAAAAAGTGCGAAAAAAAGCGCGTGACTTCTTGCCTCCATTTTCATGTTTCTTGCACTTTTTGGTTTTTTGCGGACATTACTCGTAGGGCGCTGTACGGGTCCGGAAANCATGAATACTCAGAGTTACAACAAGACAGTCTAAAAATAGTATGATTAATCACTTTGCTACCAAGATTGTTTCCGCATTCCGATCTTTGATCTGCCGGCAATGATGGCGTGCTTTCATCATTCCAGTTTGATAACGTCATACTACGTCCTTTCGTGAATTATAATAATCGGCTTGCCGTAAATTGTAATACCTATCGTGAATTGTAATAACACTTGCCACGTGTTTAGACAACGAATCGAATAGTCACTCTTTTGCTTATGGCCCATATAACGTGACAAAAAAAAAAAGTGCGAGAAAAAAGCGCGTGACTTCTTGCCTCCATTTTCATGTTTCTTGCACTTTCTGGTTTTTCGCGGACATTACTCGTAAGGCGCTTTCCATTCGATGATAAAGACATCTGAAAGCTTACACACAGCTTGTTATTACAAAGTGCGACAACTTGTTATTACTAAGTACGACAGGTGTTACAAAGTGCAACAGTTTTATCACAAAGTACGACAGGCATTACAAAGTAACGATGATTATTACAAAGCGCGACAGAACACTCTGAAAAAGAGGACAACCTTAAGAGTGGATGNTTGAACTCTAACAAAGGAAATTCTAGATATTCCAGTGAACCTTAAACAAGGGATAATTAAAGATCTCTCTGTTAAATTATTAGCAAAATGGTGTTAATTTGTGAGAATCGTTACAAGCTTGTTGCATGCAAATTATA